TTATGTTTTTCCACTGTTTCTTCTGATTTCCAAATGTATCCGAAAGATTCAAGAGGAAAGGGCAACAGTGGTTTTGATCACTCCACAGTTTGGCCAACTCAAGCCTGGTACCCCAAACTTTTGTCTTGCCATTGCCAGTCCAGGCCTTCCCAAGAGACAGAATCTTCTCCATTTACCACTCAATCAACATGAAGTTCATCCACTGTTCCATCCATCCATCTCTTCAGCTAGCTGCCTGGAAACTATCGGGGAAAGTCAGCAAGCAAGAGGTGTTCACAGGAAGTGTCAAGCACACTTGTTGCATCATGGGAGACAGCAGTCTAAAAACCAGTGCAACGCCAGTTGGAAGAAATGGGCTTGCTAGTGTTTTTCAAGGCAAATTGATCCAGTTCAGTCATGCATGTAGCAGATTGTATTGTATTGTGCATGATCAGAACTGTATTACTTATGCACACCAGGAATATTCATGTAACTGATGACGTCACGCAGTGTCAGCATAATAAATCACCTTTTCCAACATGGCAGCTCCCAGTGTCGCTTGTCCAAATTGTTACACCCGGTATAACCCACGTAAACACATGACAACTGGTGACGAGGATGAGTTTTAATGGAACATTCAGTTACAAGAACTTATCCACTATTGACTGAGAGTGATTTTTTTCACCACGGTGAGCTGGAAATCAGTGAATTGGGACGGTGTTTACGTCAAATTTTCGCGGCGTGCAGTACGTACATATACACATAGACTTATCGTTGTGTTTGCCTACTCGTGTAGCGTACATATGTACTGTGTTACAACATGGCTAGTTCATTGCTAATAGGTAGAATCGATCCCTTTGATCGAACTGAAGAGGATTGGCCAACAAATATCGAAAGACTTCAACAATATTTCCCCGCAAATGCAATCTCTGATGATCGAAAAGTGCCTGCATTTATAAGCCTGATTGGACCAAAGACATATGGACTGTTGAAAAATCTGATGGCTCCAGATAAGCTTAGTGCTAAATCATACCAGCAATTGGTGGACATACTAAGGAAGCACCTTGCTCCTAAACCCTTAGTTATAGCTGAACGATTTTGCTTCCATAAGCGGAACCAGCATGAAGGGGAGTCTGTCACAGCATATCTCGCTGAGCTTCGCAGATTGACTGAGCACTGTGATTTTGGCAGTTATCTCAATGAAGCGCTTCGTGACCGCCTAGTTTGTGGGTTGCGAGCAGGCAACATAACAAAATGCCTTCTCGCAGAAGCAAAGCTCACACTCAAGAAAGCCATTGAGATAGCCACTCAATAGAAGCCGCAGCAAAGGATGCAGTGGAATTCCAGCGACAGCTACATGTTAAACCAGAAACTTCGGTGCACAAATTTGGAGCCAAATCACAACCAACATCAACATCATCATGTTATCGCTGTGGGAAATCTGGTCATTCACCCAAACAGTGTCACTTCAAAGATGCTACTTGTCATAAGTGCAACAAAAAGGGGCATATCTGACCAGTTTGCCGCTCGAGTGCAAGCCCTCAGCAGAGTGATCGCCCACGTAACTCTTGCAAAAGCCGACCCCAAGGCGAAAAAGCGAAATCAAAACCGATGAAATCGGTTGAAGAAGCAACAAGTGATGGTGACGACATCACATACGTTGGTCGACTCGGATTCAATAATTTGGACTCTCGCAAAGACAGCACGATTTGGTTGACCCCAACAATCAATGACATCAAAATCCGCATGGAATGGGGTCAGCTGTTTTGGCGATCTCCAAAGCAGAGTATCAGCGACATTTCGCAAACTTAAAACTCGACTCGACTCCAGTGACGCTGCAGACTTACACAGGTGAAAAAGTCTCACCGGTCGGCTGTCTGCAAGTTGACTAACAACCATGAACAACGACACACCGGACGCTTGTATGTCGTTCAGGGAGGTGGACCAGCATTATTCGGTCGCGATTGGCTCGCACACTTCAAACTGGACTGGCCAACCATATTCACTATGTCAGAGCACCCAAAAATGAATCGACTTGCCTTCGGATAGCATCAGCATCCGCAATATGGCAACAAACAATGGAGCCAATTATCCAGGGCATTCCAGGCATGCAGTGCATTCTGGATGATATGCTCATCACCGGTCGCAACGACACAGAACATCTTCACAACTTGGAGAAAGTTCTTTCTGTGTTACGCAATCGAGGACTGCGTCTCAACAAATCCAAATGTGAATTCTTCAAGAGCAAGGTTGCCTTCTGTGGTCATGAAATTGAGGCACAGGGGCTGCACAAGACACAGGACAAGATCAACGCAGTCAAGAACGCACCCCGACCAGCCAATGTTGGACAGGTACGTTCATTCCTCGGGCTCATTAACTACTACCACAGATTCTTGCCTAACCTCTCCACTGTGCTGCACCCACTCAACCAACTCTTGGAAAAGAATCACAAATGGGTGTGGTCTGCAGAATGCGAGAAAGCATTTGAACAGGCAAAAGCTCTGATCACATCTAAGGAAGTCCTGACCCACTACGATCCACAGTTACCTGTGAAATTAGCTTGCAATGCATCACCGTATGGGTTGGGCGCCGTCATGTCCCATGTCATGCCAGACAACACAGAGTGACCAATTGCGTACGCTTCGCGATCATTGTCATCTGCTGAGCGAAACTACTCGCAAATTGACAAGGAAGTGTTAGCACTCATGTGGGGTGTCAAGAAATTCAACAACTACCTGTAGGAACGCAAGTTCACATTAGTGACTACCTTCAATATTCCACCCCACCAAGAGCGTTCCTGCAACAACAGCTTCGCACATGGTTCGCTATGCTGTATTCCTTACCAGCTACGATTACGACATTGAGTACAAGAACACCACTAAACACTGTAACGCGGATGGACTTTCGCGAATGCCACTTCCTGAGGTCAGGGCAGAACACAATGACCCAGATGACCTCCTACACTTGTCGCAATTCGACACTCTACCAGTCACCAGTGACCAAATTTGCAAGGAAACTGCTCGCAATGTCACACTCGCAAAAGTCTACGAGTACACCATGAAGGGCTCGCCTTACTCCCATGACTCTGAACTTAATCCATTCCATGCACGCAGACAAGAACTCTCTGTGCACAATGGATGCATCATGTGGGGACTACGTGTTGTAGTGCCAGCCAAGCTCCGCAACAAAGTACTCCACGAGCTCCATGAAGGTCACTTGGGGGTTGTGAAAATGAAAACACTCGCACGTGGCTACATTTGGTGGCCTGGCATTGACAGTAACATTGAACGGCTTGCCAAGGGTTGTTCTGGATGCCAGTTAGTCCAACACAATCCCAAATCAGCACCACTTCACACTTGGGAATGGCCCATGTCTCCATGGCAACGTATCCACATTGACTATGCTGGACCATTCCTTGGTCAAATGTTCCTGATTGTAGTGGATGCGCACTCCAAATGGCCAGAAGTGGTAGGCACCAAATCATCTGATTCATCGCACACCATCGATATTCTCCGAGCCATCTTCGTGAGAAATGGAGTGCCAGAGCAACTCGTGAGTGCCTCAGTTTACATCTGATGAGTTTCAAATGTTCCTCAAGCGCAATGGTGTGGAACACATCACATCTGCCCCGTACCATCCGGCAACAAATGGCCTAGCTGAACGCTTCGTGCAGACCTTCAAACAGGCAATGAAATCCATGACGGGGGAGAAAGGAAGCACATCTGCTAAACTGGCTAATTTCCTGTTAGCATACAGGAATACTCCTCACTCCACGACTGGACAGTCCCCAGCTACACTGTTCATGGGACGCAATCTTCGTTCGCGATTGGACATTCTGAAACCCAACATTTGCAACCATGTTAGCAGTAAGCAGGTGGACCAGGCAACATCATACAATGCTGCCAGTGTGACCCGAGAGTTTCACATTGGCCAGACAGTCTCTGTTCGCGACTACCGTGGTAAGCAGACGTGGATTCCAGGGATCATACATGCACGATCTGGTCCGCTGTCATACCAAGTTTGTGTTGGACCAAACATGATTTGGCGCAGACATGTTGACCAACTTATCGACTCCAACACTGGAAAATGACCGGATCTGAACAAACCACCTGATGTAGTTCCAGAGATACCTCTACCAGACCAAGTCGTTCCTGCATCACCATCTGCACATGCTAAGCCTGAACAAGCTGTGCCCAGTCAAACACCAACTCCAGTAGAACCACCCATACAACCAAGCCCAACTGTGGTGGAACGCCACTACCCATCGCGCAATCGCAAACCCCCAGACAGACTCAATCTGTGACTGTTTCAAACAAAACCCAACCTGAAACACACATGCATTATGTTTTAACTGTTTGATTTCTAAACCTTGGTTTGCATCTTCTCTATAAGCCTAGAGACCAGCATAAGCAAAAAAAAAATTAAGAAAAGCACATCAAAAGAAGCGTTGTGTTACATGTTAAAAAGAAAAAAAAATTGCCATTTCGTCCAGGATACCTTCAAAATTAACATTATATTAATGTTTATTGTATCACAAGTTATGATGCACTCATTTGCAAAACCTTAACAAAATACTCACTTGCATCATCATTATTTGGAAGCCTCCTCCAGCTTGTGAACAATTCCAATCTGAACTTTCCTTAACATTTCAATAATTATATGAATGGTGAGGAGGAAGTCTAATATATTATGCATGATCAGAACTGTATTACTTATGCACACCATGAATATTCATGTAACTGATGATGTCACGCAGTGTCAGCATAACAAATCACCTTTTCCAACATGGCAGCTCCCAGTGTCGCTTGTCCACATTGTTACCCCCGGTATAACCCACGCAAATACATGACAAGATTTTTTGGCCTTTTTGCAGCAGCTGTATGATGATGGCTTGCTGTATAGAACCCTTACTTCTTCTGCCCACCAATTTGTAGGTGGCCTCTGCATTGGCCAGCATCATCTTGTTAAGCATTTTTTCAAGGGTGTTCTTAACTTAAGGCCACCCTGACCAAGGNCGTGTAATAAACCAGTTTGTCATGCCATGTAAAGTTCCACCTTCCTCGTGCTAATTTGCCACTCAGTCACCACATTTTGGCGACGAGGATCCGAGTGATCAAAGCCCAGACAGTCAACGATTCATTGAATTAAAGGGTGAGTCACAATTCCCTTTAAAATACGAGTAAAATAGCCGAGGAAATCGTCGGAAAAGCAGACACAATCTAACGTCAGTATACCGTACGTAACTGATAAAGGTGGATACCGTTACATGAAAGCCATATACGAAGCTATACAGGCAGTACAATAAGCCCACTTATACATCGTTGCTGTAAACCATGGCACTTCTACCTACCTTCCCGAAATTTGACATACATCAGGACGCTAATGCTGGTCCAAGGTGGAAGAAATGGCTGCAAAGATTTGAGAGATTACTCATAGCCATGGATGTGAAAGATGATGCCAGAAAAAGAGCCTTATTGCTACACTATGCTGGTACAGATGTGGATGAGGTCTTTGAGACATTCGAAAATGTTGGTGATACTTACCAAGCAGCAGCTGATCAGCTCACGAAATACTTCACTCCAAGACGCAATGTAGCATATGAAGTATACCAGTTCAGGCAGGCCAAGCAAGGCAAGACTGAGACTCTTGACGCATTCCATACCAAACTGCGTCAACTTGCACAAACATGTGAATTCTCTGATGTTGATAAAGAAATTTGTGCCCAAATCATCCTAAACTGCCAGTCCCAACGCCTAAGAAGACGAGCACTCCGTGAGCCGATGACGCTAGAAAGCCTACTGTCCATTGGTCGTGCCCTCGAGACAAGTGAGCGAGATGCTGATGTTGTCGAAGCTGGCAGAACAGAAGCTGCAAATGCCATTTCTGCCTCTCAAGGAGCAACTGGCAGAAGCAGACGTGACAAAGCAAATTCTGAGAAATCCTCAAAACCCCATCGGCCCAGACAGCGAGACACATCCAAAAGTCGGAAAAGATCCCAGTCCCGCCACCGACAATCGACACGCCCTAGCCGTACTTGCTACTTCTGTGGAGGAGCCTACCCCCATGCCAGAGTCTGCCCAGCAAAAGGGAAAAAGTGCAGAAACTGCGGAAAAATCGGACACTTTGATTCTGTATGCCGGTCTGCAACTATCAGCACCATTGAACAAGATGATGACTCCGATGTCGACTACATCTTTGCCAACCAGCCTGATTCGGCGTATGTCATTCACTCCGCAAAGTTACCTACCTGTGAGATGACCATTGGCGACACTACCTTGACGGCCATGATTGATTCAGGAGCATCTGTGAATGTGCTCAATCTCAAGTCATTCAATCTCCTTCAAAGCAATGGCCTGAAGTTCCAGACCCGAAAATCTACATCAAAAGTTTTCGCCTATGGCACGAAAACACCCCTACCAGTACGTGGCATAATTGAAGCTACAGTCAATGTTGGTCCGAATACCTGCTGTGCTGAGTTCCATGTGGTCAACACAGACACCTGCAACCTGTTGTCCTTCACAACTGCAAGGCAACTGAAGCTGATCTCCTTCAACTCAGACCACGTGACTTGTAATCTCCAGCCAGTACCAGAACAGACAAATCAGACACCTGCCAACGACATGAGGCATGAGCAGATAATGAAGCAGTATGGCAACCTGTTTGAAGGCATTGGAAAAATCAAAGATGTCAAAATCTCTCTTCATGTTGATCCAGAAGTAAAACCAAAACAACAAAAACATTGACGCATTCCATTCCACACTCGTAAAGATGTTGAGCGTGAGCTACAGCGATTGGAAGATGCTGACATCATTGAGAGAATTGACGGTCCGACCCCATGGGTAAGCCCCATTCTTGTCGTGCCGAAGCCTTCAGGTGCGATAAGAATCTGCGTCGATATGAGACAAGCCAACCATGCCATACAGCGAGAGCGACACCCTATGCCTACCCTAGATGACATCATTGCTGATCTCAACATCTCAACAGAAGTACCATATTCAGCACACTGGACATGACAGCAGGCTATCACCAGTTCGAGCTTAAGGAAGAATGCCGCAACATCACAACCTTCAGCACTCATGTCGGCCTCTTTCGATACAAACGTCTGATGTTTGGCATCAACGCCGCTTCAGAACTATTCCAGACAGCCGTAGCACAACTACTTTCTGGCCTAGAAGGATGCAAGAATGTGTCAGATGACATCATCGTCTATGGCAAAGACCAACAGGAGCATGATAAGAACCTGAAAGCAGTACTCGACAGACTTCAGAGTCACAATGCCAAGCTGAACAAAGAGAAGTGTAAATTCTCCAAGCCACAAGTCCAATTCTATGGACACACCTTCAGCAAAGATGGTCTTGCACCCGACCCCAGAAAGATCGAAGCTCTCATCAATGCCAGTCCTCCAAAGAACCAGAAAGAAGTGAAATCTCTTCTTGGTTTAGCTTCATACGTTTCCAGATTCATACCGCAGTATGCAACAGTCACACACCCCCTCAGAATCCTCACCCATCAAGATTCAGAGTGGAAGTGGGGTAAAGATGAGATGGCCTCTTTCAACAGGCTGAAGCAGATCCTGACCAACACAAATGTAATGGCCTACTTCGACCCAAGAAAAGCAACAGACGTCATTGTTGATGCAAGCCCAGTTGGACTAGGTGCAATGCTATGCCAAGATGGGAAAATCATCTCCTATGCAAGTCGCACCCTGTCAGATGTAGAATCCAGATATTCACAAACCGAACGAGAGATGCTAGCAGCAGTTTGGGGAGTTGAGCGCTTTCATCTCTATGTGTATGGTGCCAAGTTCCGCATCATCACCGATCATAAGCCACTTCTTGGAATCTTCAAGAGCGACAGACCAACCTCAGCCAGGATTGATCGATGGCGTTTACGCATAATGCCATACAACTGCGAGGTGATCTACAAACCCGGAAAAGATGATGAAAATCCTGCTGACTACATCAGTAGACATCCTAAAGCACTGTCGCCAGAGAAGTCAGTAGCAGAAGACTACGTGAACTACATCTGTAACAACGCAGTCCCCAAAGCCATCAACATAGAGCAAGTCCGAGCTGAAACAGCAAATGACGACATCATGCAGAAGCTGATGAAAACCATCCAGTCGGGAAAGTCACGTGACTGGGATGACATAGACTTGCGACCGTTCAAACCAGTTCGCAGTGAGCTAACAATCTGCAATGGAGTAGTCCTACGTGGAAACCGCCTAACAATCCCGACATCCTTGCAACATACAATCATCGAGTTGGCCCATGCCAGCCACCAAGGGATTGTGAAGACCAAAAGCCTCATCAGAGAGAAAGTCTGGTTTCCAGGAATAGACAGAATGGTGGAAGACAAAGTAAAGAAATGCATACCATGCCAAGCAGCCACAACAGAGAATACTGAACGCCCAGAGCCGCTGAAGATGACCCCATTACCTTCATCCCCATGGAAAGAAGTTGCTGTTGATTTTACTGGCCCTTATGCATCCGGAGAGTACTTGCTAGTCGTAGTTGATGAATACAGCAGATACCCAGAAGTAGAAATTGTGAGTTCCACTTCAGCCAAAGCAACCATCCCAAAGCTTGATGCAATCTTTGCCAGACAAGGCATACCCGATGTTGTTGAAGACAGACAACGGTCCGCCGTTTCATGGTAATGAATTTGCCAAATTCGCATCATACCTAGGTTTCTCCCATCGCCGAGTCACCCCTCTGTGGCCAAGAGCCAATGGAGAAGTTGAACGACTGAACAGAACACTTGGCAAAGTCATTCGCACTGCCGAGACAGAAGGTGTAAGCTGGAAACAGCAACTGCAGAAATTCCTTCGCCAATACAGAGCAACCCCTCACTCCACCACTCGCATATCCCCCAGCGAAGCACTGAATTCCAGAAAGCTGAAGTGCGAACTACCTGAGTTCCAGTCTCCCATACATGCACACCATCATGACAACTTCATGCGAGAACGAGATGCGAAGCAGAAGTTGAAGATGAAAATGCGCACAGACACTCTTCTTCATGCTAAACCATCCAACCTCCAGCCAGGAGACACAGTCCTTGTGCGCCAACCAAAGAAATCCAAGCATACCTCACCATTCAACCCGAAACCCTTCCAAGTTACATCAAGAAGAGGAAACATGGTTGAAGCTTCAAGAGGAGACAAAGTCACCAAGACGGAACATCTCCCACTTCAAGAAAGTCCAAGTCCCACCCCCTGACCCAACCA